AAGAGGGATCAGGCCTTCAAGGTACCTTCTGATAGGAAATGGGAGAAAGCAGGAAGGAGAGAGAGGGGAGGAATGGTTTTATAGGCAATGCACATTTGGATGTGTGTCTTTGACTGTTTTCTCCTCTCTGGAGGAGCATCCTCCTTCCCCTAGCATCTGGTTGCATGTCTAAGTCACTCCTGGGAAATACATCTAAGCCAAGGAATGGCCACAAGGCCCAATTGCCCAATCCATTGTCACTGACCCCTGGTGTGGGCCATGTTAGATCAGATATAGTGTGTTCTCTTCCTGAAGGACTCCAGGGCCATGGACTGTATACCCTGCAGTTTCCTGACATGCTGCATTCTAGCATTTTATGATTCGAGGGTCAAAACCCTCTCAGGATCCAAATGTACTCCCTGTTGCTTTAAAATATCCACCAACAGATATTTACGTATAGAACCCTGCTGTTTCCCATTCACTGCCAGGCACCACGAAGTGCAAAAGCATAGAAAACATGATTTCTGACCTAAGGAGTTTACAATCTAGATGACAAAATACAGCAGTCGTGTGGTCCAATTCCTAAATAAGGATTAATTTAACAGTATGATTCAAACTATAGCACTTATCATAAACTGTGAGATATATATAATTAGAGTCTATAGTAATAAGTAGAGTAAAGAGTTAGATTAGTGTATAGCATGGTCATTAATAGTATTCTTGTTTGTTATGTAATAACATATGCCCATTTTTAACCTATATTTTCAACCTATTTTACAGTTAAATCACACAAATAGGATTGTAGCAGCCAGTTCTATGTAATAAAAATATTTCTCCTGCTGGCCGAAAGCCCATACCAACACTCCTTCTGATGCAGATCCAAGACTCTTTTTGAAGAAAAAATCTGGTATGAGAAAGACATTCACAAATCTCTGTCCATTTGGCAGTAAATCTACTTAACAAAAAGGCTATCATTTCATCAGAGTATTGACATAAAGTACAGGTTTGCATATTCGTACAGTGTTAACTAGCTCTTAATAAAACCTGACTTTTTGAATGTTGCATTGATTTTACCTGGGGCATTTAGACAGCTTCTCCTAACAAGGGCGCTGGCCACTGCTGGTTCATAGACCTCATCAGTCCCTGTTCTGTTTTGGGTAGAGGACTATGAGACTCTCATCTCGAGTCCTTCAGGGACACAGGCGCCCTGTCATACTAGCAAAGGCAGCAGAAGAGAGCTTACAAGCCCTGCCCTTGTTTTTCCCTATATTAGCTGATTACTTGTGCTAATAGACGGAAGCAATTACAATCCAGTTGTCCAAAAGCTACTTTTCACTTGCTTTTGAAAAGGCTTTTGCAATTAAGAATATGAAATGCCTAAGTAAAATGTGGAGAATTTGCAATACATGAAAGAAAAACAGTTGTAAATTTACCCTGTGTCTCTGGGACAGTAGGCTTCTGTGAGACAGCCAGTTTCTCTGCATTTACATGAATACTTTCCTGCCTTAGGAGACTACCATGTAAGAGTCTGGGTTAAGAAGCTCCCCTGCTAGGCCTCAAATTAGGTGAGCCTGGTAAAGTAAATAAAAGGAAATGGATTGTGTCCATACATGACTTCACTCCCATCCTTTGAACGTCTTTATCAATCACTAGGAGGGGCGGGACTCAGCAATGATCACATACGACACACGCCTCCAGGTCATAGAGAGCCAACTTGATTCCCTAAGGTGCTTTTGGTGTGACAGGCCTAGACCCTCTTCCTCCACCATTGGATGTATCTTTTCTAAAATTATTAATCTTTTCTTTCTCTCAGCTCATGCCACTAATTGCACCCAAACTTCTTAAACTTGTTAAGATAGTTTAAGAAGTTTGGGTGTAGTCAGGAGCCTGTGGGCAATTGGGTTGCTCACATTGTACTTTCAAGTGCCCACAATGGTCAACCCTGGCTTTCTCCATACTAAATTTCCCTTGCTTTCCTGTGAACTTAAATTTAAGGACTTCATTTAACTGCATATTGGGATAGGATATGGGTAGAGGGTACCCATATTTTGATTGTATTTTGCCAAATCTAATCTGTGTCCAATTTTTTTCAAGTTTTTTCTTTCTAAAAATGCTGCCAGTTGGTGGAAGTTTGGAATCTCTGGTTTCCCTGGAATACTAAGAGAAAGACTCAGAAATTGCATTTGCAGATAATTGCTTATTTAGCTATTCTGTCCAATTAGATATGGGGAAATGACTTGTTCTTCCTTAGTTGAATATTGCATATTTGCTAGCATCTCACTGCCCCCTGCTGCAGCTCACAATGAGTGCATCCTTCTCTGTGGGCATTCTCTATATTATTACTGTCTGACTGGTCCCTGTCATGTTTCCTCAGGTTCTGGCCAAGTGATTAGACACTAAATCAACTCTGACAAAGTTATGAGTTCCTTTTTGCCACATCGATCCAATTTTAAAGCACACATTTGGCGTGCAAGAGAGCATAGATGGGTAATGGGGACAGAGCTGGACTCCTCAAAATGGAGCAACGTGGCCTGGATCCTCAGCTCTTATGGAGAGCTCTAAACAAATCTGAACCAGCTCTCACTGGGACAGACTGTCTCAGAGTTACTTCAGAAACCCAGAATTTTCAGTCTAGTGCCATGACTTGGAGGAACAATTTTATGTTAAGATGTTTCCTGGAGCAAAGGAACAAGAGCATTGCAGTTGAGAGAAAGAAACTTGGGAAATTTTTTAACCTCTTTGATCCTTTGTAAAATTATTATTTTTAAAAAAGTAATCATATGATGTTTTAAGTATTTAATACATAATCTTTTTGAAGGCTCTATACTTGTGTATACATGTGAGATAAATCTTTGCCTATTAGTTTTATTATGGCCAAGGTAGCCTATTAGGTGCAATTTAATGATTATAGAAAGACATTCTGAGCCCAAAGACTTATTCCCAAAACTGTTCTAAAATGATCACAAAGTTGCAAGCAATGTCCATGGTCTCCATGAGGTTCTGCCAAAATGACCTTGAACAAGCCATTTAACTTTTTTGGACCTTTGTTTTTCCATCTATAAGACAATAGTGAAACTATTTTGTAGGGTGACTTAGGGATTCAATGACATATGCCTGACACATGGCAGATTCACAGTGATCGTCAGTTCCCTCCTCCCCCTCCCCTCTTCTTTGTTTCTGGTCCAAATGGCCAACACCTGACTTGACAGCAAATACTCATGGGTAGATAGGTGATGGACTCTCTCAATTGCCCCCAAGGGGCATAAAGACAGCCTTTCCTTGTCACCATCAGCTTTCAAATATTGGCAAGGAAATTTGCAGTGGAGAGTAGTATAAGGGGGTAAAGGTGGTTATTAGAATCTTCTGTCTTGGAAGGTGTAGCTGCCAGGAACTTCAAGGTATTGCCTGTTCTGGAACTGGTGTATTTTATTGTGGAATGAAACAGATTTCCCCCCTGTAATGATGCCTACAGTTGCAGCTTTGACCTAGGAAGCAGACGAGAGAAAAGAAGGCATCAAACTCAGGAAAGGTCATTTTGTGATCATGGATTTTTTTTTCTAAATAATGCATTGTAAATATCATACCTACTTTTAAGAATCAGAATGTTTTATAAAAAACAAATGGTCGGTCTTCCTCTGGTGAATTTAGAGACAAAAAGAATGCTTTCAACTCGTTGAAACAGAGAAAAACACACAAAGTCACACCTACCTGCATCCGTGCATGCACACACACAGTTTGCAAGTAAAATTTACATTTTTATGCTTTTACATGTGTTTTTTGGTTTGGTGATAGCCTTGAGAATTGGATGAGTCTTGTTAGGTAGTTAATAGATTTCCATGGAGGAAAATAAGAATTTAAGGATAATCATTCTTTGATGGTAAGAAAGGATTTACAGTTAAGTATTTTCTCCCACCTATACCCTAGTTCTGTCATCAGCCTGATTATAAACTGGGCAGAAACCAGAGAAACCACATAAAATGATGCATTTTACTAAACCTGTGTGACCTTTTCAAATCTAAACATTGTTCTGGTATCCACCAGGAGACTGTTTTACTGTATTTGAATCAGACCTCTAGAGAGGAGCTAGAGAGATGCTTAGATATTGACCTGTCAACCCCTTTATTTTACGAATGGGGAAACTAAGGCCCAGAGAGGTCACATGACTAGAGTACCCTCCCTTATTATTCTCTCTCTTTTCTGATGTCGTTATCATGTTTATTTGTTTCATCTCCACCTAAGATTGTTAGTGTTCAAAAGCAGGAATACTGATTTGCATGAGTAGCTCTTTCCTCAGCACCTCACAGTAGGTAATGTGTGGTAATCTAGTGACTGCCATTCTTAATCTCCCAACAGAAATTATAATTACAATAAACAAAGAGAAAAAAGTACTGAATGTAATTCTTTAGTAACTTATTTTTTTTTAATTACTTGATGCAAAATATCATGTCCAAGTGTAATATTTTCACCCATTTCCTGGGAGTGGAAAGGACTCACTTGTGAATTAGCAATGAGATTCTTGTGTTACACTAAGAGAAAAAGATATGGTTCAGTTCTCATTTGGCAGCTCATCCAATATGACCCAACATTTAACAATTTTTTCAGCTTTTTCTATATTCCTACCACTATTTAGAATTTTAGAATATACCAGGGGAAAAAATAAAGATTCCTGTCTGTTGAGATTGCATCTTAATGTATATTTGTGACATAGGAATGGGCGATTGCTTTCCAACACCGGATTATTATTGGACAGCATTCTAGTGAAAGTGTCATTTTAAAAAATTGTCTTCCTCAAAATGAAAGGCCTAGTTTCTCAAGAAAAAAATTTTTTTGGTCAAGTTGCATGAAACTTGGCACAATACTGCCGCCTTGCGACTACTTCAGTCAGAGAATCACATACATTACAAGGTCACCTCTGTCTATAAAGTTTACAGGAAAATTATCCTGTTTCTCAGTGGAAACGTTTGGCACAAAATGACGTATTCAGGAATATTTTAAATCTAATTCTGTCTGATTTTTAATAGAACGATTGGAAGGCCTCCATTGCTTTTGTGGTTGGGAATCAGATTCAAGATGATCTTCTCATCCAAGCCCTTACCCTGGCTGTCCAGGTCCCTCAGCGTAAACTCTTCAGTATGGCATCGTGGCAAGACATTCTCCAGCAGGTACCTGTCCATTCCTACCTCAAAGCCCCCTGAAGACTTTTTTACTTAAAGTAATAGAATTTAAAATAAACTATCATATTTTTGGGCTGTTTTGTAAATTTTGATGGATTATTTTAAGTAACTAGCTAGAATAAATTTGGGTTTTTCAATCTGAAAGAACTTATTTTTGTTCATTAATTTTGTTCATTCAACGTGCATTTCTCTCACAAGGATTTCTGAGGTCATACCAGGCACCATACTAGGATCTGTGAGAAAATATTTAATAAAAGTTAAATAATTATAAAATACTAGACTATTTAAGACTCCAGGGAGGTACATGACTAATGGGAAATGAAGGCTACAGAGAATCATAGCTGTCAGAGGTCAGAGGAGAGCAATAATATAGAAAAGGCCTGCCAGATGGCACATAACCATACAATTACTGACAACTTACCAAAGTGACTCTAAATATTTTACCTAATTCAGACGTACCTCTTTCTTGCTAGGTTCCCCAACCCCTCAGGTCCCCTAGATATTTGAAAGTTACATATATCTAAGTATTCCTCAAATAAGGCTTTTTAATTATAATTTTCTTACAGATTAATGAAATAAATACCCTTGGATCTGCTTCGTCTAAAAAGGCAAAAAAATCTGTAGGCGGTAGTGCACCTTTATATTATGAGGTAAGTGAAAGCGTTTATAGAAGAGATTTTTGTGTTTTTAGAAAAAAGAATTGAGGTAATAATGTGATAGCCATTTTTAAATTTAATTCATTCTTTGAAAATAAATGCCTGCTCCTTATTAGAGATATTTGTTCCTGATGGTGAACACGAAAAAATCTGCCTCCCTTTTTTTAAACAAAATTTCCCTTTACAAATAAAATTGTCCTAGATGGTTTATACCATTGCTGCATCTAATTGAAATAATTGAAAAATATAAATCAGAAACTTATATACACCTGAAGTTTGGGTCATACTTTCTCACGATAATTGCTGAGTATGTGATAGTATTAAGGAGAGTCATATTATCAGCATATCATGAAGTCTTAGTTTTAACAAAGAAACAATGTAAAAATGTGCCAGAAAGTGTTTCTTGTATCAGACAGAGGCACAGCTGGAATGATTTTCCATCAGTTTGTGAACTTGGTGCACGTTTTACATCCCACTTTAATCAATAGGAAAATAATGATACTCTTTGGATTCATGGTCTGTTCCATTTCCAGCAGCTGCTTAGTATAAAGTCTAGCTAGGCTGACCCAGTGGGCTTGTGCAAAGGACGTAGGACTCATTCTCCGTATGAGGGGATTTCCTCTCACCCTGCCTTGTTAATATCTAACTCACAGCTTTCAAGAAACTATAAAAATCCAGTGATTAATTAGAATATCACTTAAAATTTGCAAGGCACTGTTTTATGGTGCAGCCGACCTCAAACATAAAGAGTTTTGGATCTTTCTAAGACGAACTTGTTTGCACTTTATTTCAGTGATGACTAATAAAGTTTTTATGTGTCTCAGGTCTTGGGTGATTACATATGGTCTATTTAGTATTGCTCGAGTACTATCTGAACAAGTTTCACTGGATTTATTCACAATAGACAGTACTGTGAATTTTATAGCATTAACTCTTGCTACACCGTGCTCACCATCCTGGCAAACTTATCTGTGCTTTTGCAGTGAAATAATATATTTTGTCTCTTTTTCATAATGTTCTGAATGTGTGTGTGCTGCAGTTGAAACATTATGTGATACCTGGATTTAAAATACTGGAATTTTTCTTCTGAAGTGGCCACAGAAATCCATATCCAATTCTCAGGCCTGGGATCAATTAACCCCACAAAAGATCCTTTCTTCTTCACAGATACTCAGTAAAAATCAGAAATGATAGCAGGCCAGTTTTGATGTTTAGTCCGGGCAGGCATTCTGACTTGGATGTGGGATAGCACAAAATTACAAACGGAGAGTTAAGTTAGAAAGCCATCCCTCTCCAATATGTGCTGCGACTCTTGGTTGCATATTCTTCACTCGGGGAGGTCCATTTCACATCTGGCTCCACCACATTCTTCCAGTGGAGCATTTGGACAATAAGCCTCCCACACTCGCTCACATGCCGTCTTCTGAATGGTTCCAGAAGAAAAGAGAAGGTAGGTGGAGTGCCATGGAGACTGGACTTGAGGTGCACCAGACATTCATTAATGCCAGTCGCTGAAGGAAAAATGATAAAGACCATAAAACAAATTCAGACTCCTGATCGGCATCAGCCAAGGACAGGTTGCACATCTGGAGAAGACGGGCATATTTTCCATCTCAGTCCCTTCACGCTTGGGACCTGTTCAAGCACTCATCCCAAGTGATTTGAAAAGTCACTGGCAACGCCTGCAGAGCTGCAAAGTAGTTGTGAGTGGTAGGCATGGAAGAGGCCCAGAAAGTCTCTTGGGACTTCTGGACGTTTGAGCCATGTAGAAAGTGTGCTCATGAATCTATTTCTGTTTAGAATCTGGCGTGGTCTATAGCAACTAGGACACTTGACAGAGGTAAGCGCCTGGGGAGCGAAAGTCTTACTACATCCCATTTCTCAAAGGAAACTGCGCTGCGGGAGAAGAGACAATCTAACAAATTGCTTACGTTACGTGGCAGATTCTTAGAAACCTCAAATTAAGAGATAAGGAACTCAAAATATAACAGCCATGCACGTAAACACCTATATTTACTTCTGCTTGTAGGGCACTCTTGTAAGCCTTAAATCAGAGCCTAGTTATTCTTATTTTAAACACAATCTTAACCAATTTGGCTTTCTGGTTTCCTAGCCTGTGGTTGATTAGAAGCAGCAAATTAAAGTGAGACTTCACTATAGTGCACTTCATCCATGAGTAGTAAAATAGTGTCAGAACCACATGACATATTTCCAATAATGACTAGCAGTGTCTGGGCTAGCAAAGACCACATTCCTAAGTGATTTGCTCAAGTTTTCATTTGGATGGCTTGGTGTTGTGTACACACAGCCTCATTTTGAAATTGTGTAATTCCCCCTGAAACCTTAGAATTTCATCTAGCCATGGCATCGTATATGTGAGAGTCTTTATTTATAAACCATAGTTCTTTGAAAAACGGCTTAGATTTGTGCTAATGTGATTTCACAGAGATGCAGCTGCAGCTCATTTGTTCATTCACGTTCTCTTTTTGGAAACCGTGTTTTGCTCTAGTAGAAACTACTCCAAGAACTCATGTGGGAATAAGAACAGAATATTCTTCTTTGTTTATATTCCCAGGAATGTTGGCTATTACTTTATTATCATCATCATCCTCATTATTGTTATTTAATATTTATTATTACTTAATATAAATTATTATTTATTATTTAATAATGAGGATGAGGATGATCCCATGCACTGGCATATAAGCCCCACTTTCCACATGTAATCTTATATGAGGATATGGACACATTTGAAAATAAATATACACTTATTGCCTGCATTATATAGTAGCCAGTTTTACTAATTATTAACAAATATATTCTTGTTCAAGCCCTAGTGCCAGGCACTACTAGTCAATGAAAAGAGAGGAAGGAATATTAATATTGTAAAGACTCTAACCTCAAGAAGCTTAAGGGCCAGCTAGAGGGAAAACAAAAAAACAAAATATACGTAGACATAAGCCGGGCACATGGAAGGCATTCAATAAATAGTTGCTGAGTCAACGAATAACACAATGCAGAGAATAGTCAGTGAAGTTCTTGAGGGACAGGTAAAGCATATAAGAATTCAAAGGAAGGTGAGATTATCATTAGCTGGGGTAGTTGGCAGGGAGGGGTGAGAACCAGAGACATTTTTGTGGAAACGTTGGCATTTGAAAGGAAAGGAAAGGACCTTATAATTTTGATCTGTTACGTGTATTACATCAATTAGCCCACATCACAATTCTAAAAGGAAATATAAAATCCCCATTGTATGAATGGGGAAATGGAGGCATAGAGAAGGTAGAAAGGGGAAAATCAAACACTGCATGTTCTCACTCATATGCGAGTGTTGAACAATGAGAACACGTGGACACAGGGAGGGGAGCACTACACACTGGGGTCTGTTGGGGGGAAACAGGGGAGGGACGGTGGGGGATGGGGAGCTGGGGAGAGAGAGCATGAGGAGAAGTGCTAGATGTGGGTGATGGGGAGGAAGGCAGCAGATCACACTGCCACGTGTGTGCCTATGCAACAATCTTGCATGTTCTTCGCATGTACCCCAAAACCTAAAATGCAATAAAATAAATTTAAAAAAAAAGAAAATATCATCAAAATAGTACCACTATGGACTAAAAAAAAAAAGAATTTGGATTTAACCTAAGATAAACCTATAGCACCAAGTTTTTCTACTTTATCACCAACCGAGTAATCTTTCACTCTCAGTCTCCTGGTAATCTTTCAGTCTCAAAGCTGTCTACCCTTGCATGGATGGGTAGATCTTGACATTCAAGTATGTAAGAGGGCATTCTAAGAAAAGGGAATAGCTCAAGCAAAGCCATCGGACTGGGAGAAGACTGAATGAATGTGTACTAAATTTGAAGTTATATGGTATAATATATACTCAATGGGAAAGATGAATCTTGCACATATTTTAGTTGAAACTTTAAAATCCTAAAGATGGAAATCTATAAGGAAACATTTCAAACACTGCTTTAGATTGATGCCTGAACTTAAATGTACTTGCTAGCTATGCACAGATAATTTTCTGTGTATGTATGCTTTATAGCTCACATGGAAAATCTGACCTGTGTATTTGTAGGTATACTCAGTCCTGACCAAAATTAAAAAGGAAAATATCAGTGGTCATTCAAAACCAACTGAAATGTTCTCAGTGAGAGAGTTCTATGTGTACCATAAATGCAAAGATTCTCCCACTTATGACTAAATCTGATACACAGTAAGTGAACTTTATAGGATAAATGTGCAAATTTTACATTTGACATTATCACTTTGATAAATCAGAAAGAAAAAGCTACCAGTTGATAGGGGTTGACTTACCAATTAATCCAAAAGCAGAACCAACCATTCTAAAAGTTTTTAAATTCCTCTTCATGTTTCCTTTCATTTCATGATGGTGTTCACCATACCTACCTACCTGGAAAGGAGCCTTCATCCACACAAATGGGCTGTGATGTATGTGCCTGTGACTTATTTATAAAAGACTCATTAGGACACCACAAAATAAAAAAGGAAAATGAAAAGCTTACTGAAACAAAAATTGTCTATAAAGAATAAAGGTTTTTATGCTCTAGTTGATGGCTCATCGATTTCAAAACAATTTTCCAAGTTTCTATACAACAACGAACTTGAATTATCCTAAACATTTTGTGATATGGTACAATTGTATCAATGGAAATAATTATTAATTTCCTTCTTTACTCCTATCAGTAAAAGAAGTTCTCATATTTTTAAGAAAATGATTTTTAAAATAACTTTTCTTTTCAACAAATATATCTTAAAATATTTCCATGGGCCTTTCTGTTGCAACTGGGAGACCATCAAATGTGGAAAGATTTTTCTGATATTAGATTTGAAAATAATGGACCAAATGCAGTTTAATAAAATGTAGGATGCAAATTAGGTCTTCAGATCTAATTCATTTCACCATACTTTTAAGACATTATGCTAGTGCATCAGATTAGTAAGCCCAGATGTAATAGTTCCATTTTTTG